CGCCTCCACCAATCGGCATTGAGCCTGCTTCCCAGCCAATCAGGAAGCCAGGCGGCGAGTAATGACCTGATTGACCGTGAAGCCGGCTTCCCGGCCAATCAGAAAACCAGGAGGCGGGTCATTGCTTGCTTCACGGCTTCCTGGTTGTCCGTGAAGCCGGCTCCATGCTCCCCTATGGCAGTGCCGGTCAGTGGAAATTTTCCTCTGGCCATAAGTACCCGTATTGGGGAAGTTATCGGAGCATTTGGGTGAGTACAAGTACTCGTCCAAATAATCGTTATCGGCACTAATACTAGTATTGGTGCATCCCTAAACAAAATGTATTTGAATGTGCTAAATAGCGCTTCTCACTGGTCAGCGCGGTCACCTGAGCACGCAGACCAATGAGTGCTTGCAATGTGCCTGCGAAATTCAGTATGCATAGGGCAGGACTGCACTGGACAGCAGTATGGGGTACATATAGCACACCCATGCTGGCAGAGGGGAGGGACTGTTAGCCAAAAAGGTAAATATAGCCAGGGGGGGGGGAGAGAAGTTGGGAGAGGGGGAGGTTAGATTTTATCGGGTAATTCCATTTTCCCATATTACCTGGGAAAGTGAACTTGCACTTTAATGCACATTGTGTGTGTGTGTGTAAGGCCTTGTCCAAGGACCTGTAGCACACCTTACCGGACTTCCCATGTGGAAAAATGGGTGCTCGCAATGACTAATGATGGCGCCGTATCAAGTAAAACGTTGTATATAGATGTCATCAGCACTCCAAATATGACAGAATACGTCAAGGTTTTAGTGAATCTTAATTTTTATTTTTGAAGTCACTTAAAGTGGAAACAAGCGCTTTTGGGGCCGCACAGGGTCCCCTTCATCAGGCTTAAAGTGAACCAAGGCCTTGTTCACACCAAGCGCGGAGCAGGTGCAGAGCAGTTGCAGACCGGATCAAAACTGCGTCCAATGTATTCCAATGGTATTTTTTGCTCCAGTTCACATTGCAGTGTGCAGTTCCAGAGCAGGTGAAAAAACTGCAGCAAGCCCTATTTTACCTGCTCTGGATCTGCTCTGGAACGCATGCAAACGCATCAAAAACGTATGCAAATGCCTGGGACGCACTGAAAGCCCATGTTAACCTCTTTCCCGTCCGCCTATTAAGAAAAAACGGACGGCAGACTCGCATCAGTGGGTTGCTGTCTCCAGGCGGCATTTTTTCCTGCTCGCGCGCGCCCCCTAGCGCACGGGCAGGAAAGACCCGCTCGTTTCTACAGCCGTCTGTTTCGCATACAACCGATCAGCGGCTCTATAGCTATCGGCTCCTTGCTGATCTCCCTCTGTAGTGTGAATGCAGAAGTGATGTGTATTACATCACTTCCTCATTCACCTGTCAGTCATCTGGCTCCTAAGCCAGATAGAAGAAGCTGATGAAGCAGATCTGTGCTTCATCAGCTTCTTTTGAGGTCTCCAGGTGACATTAGGGGTCCTAGAGACCCCTAATGTCTCCATAAAGAGGACCTGTCAGTGTACCTGTGCTATTATATAGGGGGATTGTATCCCCCTATGTAACAGCAATAACAATAAGTGTAAATATATGTGTGTGTGTGTATATATATAATATATATATATAAGGGATGCACCGATACAAGCATCGGTATCGGCGGCGATACCGAGTATTTGCATGAGTACTCGTACTCGTGCAAATAATCCAATACATAAAACGAGTAAAGAGTTCTGCTGCCTGACTACCACAATGGAATGGCGGCAGCACTAAACGCACACGCACAATGTTCTACGCGTGTGTTTATTTGCATGAAAATGGCGGGGGCAGCAGGTTTGTTTTTCATACTTTATCACTTTTATTTTTTTAAAAACCACCCTCCCTACATTAGTGTTATTAATTTCCATTGTGTTGGTGGCTGGCCCACCTGCACCATGGAGAGGCATGACTCTGTGTGAAAATGAAAGGGACCCCTGAGAAAGCCAGAAGGACACAGCACCCTGGTTGAAAGAGGCTGCCCTAGGATTCCGCATAACCCTGGTTGAGAAAAGCTGATCTCCAGTATGCTCCATTTTGACTCTTCAGAACGGAATGAAGCATGTATCTTTGATATTTTTAAACACATAATTGAGAGGCTGTGTAAACCTTCTTTTGCTGTAGTAAACAGATCCTGATGCAGTGGTAATAACAGCAAAAATGGCTGAAGCTGCAACTCAAAACTTTTAATAAATGTAACTTTTTTTTTTGTGTCCAACTAGGATATATTTTCATTTTAGCCAAATACAGTATTTGTCGGACTGTCTTCAGGGCTATCAACTGAAATACCTGCAGCAGAATGGGGACATATGTTCCACAAGTGCTCTGGTATCCATCTGTGGAATATGTGCATGCTAAGCATCTATAGATCCAAGCTTGTTAATGGCGTTTAAAGCTGTGGGGGAGGTTGGCTAATCCGGTGTACATATTGCAGGAAATAAATTGTTTGAAACATCCTTTCTGCTCATGAAAGTGTTTCCGAGATTTACTGGTAAAGCAGTCATGCATGCCTGTGTAATCCATCAGAATGAACTTTTTTTGTGTGTATTACCTTGCTGAGAATTGTACAGCAAAATGTCTGTTTCCAGACTTGGTAGTGTAGTGCAAAGGACAATATTTGATTCTTTTTTTCTGCTGCTGGATATCTGAAAGTGTATTATTATATGTATCATAGAGTTCATTTGAATGTAATTGCAGATATCAAGGACTGCATCTTGGAGCCTCTGTCATTTCCAGAAAGTCCAGGGCCTATTAATGTCCCAAGCGATGTTGTGTCTTTGCCATGTATGTTCTGTGAACAGCTGCACAAGGAGACAGAAAAGGATGGACTTCTCAAACACATGGTTATTGAGCATAAGCTTGTCATTGCCGATGTCAAGTTAATAGCCAATTTTAGGAGGTAAGCAATATGTTTTATTATTGATGATAACCTTGTTAGAATAAATGATTTTCATGGACAGCATGAATAATGTATATCTAACCCCACAAACATTTTGGATACAGTAGGGAAGGGTTAAAATCCTCACTTGTTTTTTGTTTTCTCTCTGTATCCCATTGGGGAGATGTTTCTTCACTTCCTGTCCTGTAGTGACAACAGAAAACAAGAGGAAATCTATTCAAAGTGAAGAAAATATTGTCTTAGGCCTCATACACAATGACACGTTTTAGCTTTTCTGAATGGAGAAGTGGGAAGTAATTATGTGGGAAGTAAAAACAACATTCAAGGCCTCATCACACATGCTGTGTTTATATGTGTTTAGAGCACATTTCTAAATGCATGTACAGCAATTCATTTTCAGTGGTATCATTCAGACTTTGCGTTTACTCACATTCATTTTAGTTGTGTTTAGAGAAAATAGAATTCTGTGCATCCAGGATTTAATTAGAAACTCTAAACGCATGTAAACTCATCTAATGTAGCTTCCAGCATGAAAATCTAAACGCAGAATAAAGTGATCTGTAAAGCATTGTTTAGACTTCCCAGATAACTTCTCCTGCATGTAGATGCACTTTTTCCTGTATCTAGATGTTCTTGCTTAAGGGCAGGTTCACACCATTTTCCGTAACAGATCTGGAACGCAGTGCATTGTTTTTTGCCGCGTTTGGGGTTTTTGTTGTTGTTGTTAGCTTAAAATGGTCATACAGGTGTGTCCTAGTGCGTATGTATGCATTTCTATGCCTTCCAGTGCATTCCAGACCAGACAAAATAAGACCAGCAGTATTTTTCTGGTCTGGTCTGGAACGGACTGCACTGATGTGAACAGAGGCCAGAATTAGCATAGGGATACATTAGGATGCATTTTGGGTCCGGAAACAATCTGGTCTGGAGATGATCTGGATGTGGTGTGAATGGGCCCTAAAGCCACGTTTGGAAATGCTTACACGTGTTTAGCTGTGTACAGCTTCTCATTGGATCCTTGGGTTACAAAATTCTATTTTCTCTAAACACAGCTAAACTTAAATGCAGGTAAAAGCTGGCAAACCAAAAGTCTGCATGGAACCATTGAAAATCAACAATATACATTTATATCAGGGATGCACCGATATATCGGCCGAAAATTGCACTTTTGGCATAATGCATAATAAAACAATTTTCTGGCCGATATAGCGGCGCATCCCTGCTTTCTCTTCTCCCCGCTGGGTGCTGCTCTGTGTCCCAGCGAGGAGGAGAGAAACTGTGACAGGCGGCTGAGCGCTGTGAGCGGCCGGCGTCTCTCCGACACAGCCTCCTGTCACAGAACGATGTGTGGGCGGAGACAGCTGTCACTGCAGGCTGAGCTTGACTCGCTCAGCCTCCTGTGACAGCTGTCAGGAAGGAGAGCGGTACAAACAGCGATCGCTGAGTGTTTGTAAATAATTGAGGACAGAGTATGGTTACTATATCCTCAAATATGATTGAATGGGAGTGAGCTACATCACCTCGTGTTCATTCATAGTTGTGGTTATAGTAATCATACTAGACTGTTCCTTTTGTAAAAAAAAAAGTTAAAATAAAAAACATTTTCGGTTTCGACCTGACATTTTTTTTTATTTCGGTTTCATTTCTGTGCACCTCTAATTTATGTGTTCAGAAATGTTCTCTAAACACATATATACACTGCCTGTGTGAATGAGCCCCAAGACAGTGCCCCTGCAACCTATTAGAAATCTCTCCCTTGGATTTTTCCTCACATTCAGTTTTGATGACTATGGTTTTTAGGACAAATGGAGAGAGCGTGAATCTTTACAGCTGGGAACAAGCGGCAACACGTGTTTGCAACAAAATGTCACGCTAACTATCCGCAAAAGTTTTATCTGTATGCGCCTTTTTTGAAGTGTTCTTGCGACCGATTCCTGTTTGTGACTCCCTGCACATGTTTTGTGACATTTTGCATAATTTCTCAACTGCACAGTAATTGCGTACAGCACTTGCGACAATAAAAACCCTCCAAACTGTCGCACATTCCAGAAGTCCTCCTGAGCACTTCTTCAAGTATCCCAAAGATAATTCAGCTTCATATCCTCAAGTCATCTAAACACTTCAGGACTATTCAGCTGTCATCCATGAGGTTCCCTGCAACTGTTTAGAGATCGGGGTAATTTTGAGACAATTCTACTTATGAAGGCATTAGATTTAAACATATACTAGGATAATAAATCTGTCACTATATGCTCTAGAAATCAGGAATGTGACTGTTTCCGGCCCCATTCACATCGGGGCGGAAGCGTTTCCACGTGATTTTTGAAAGGTCGTTTTTGGGTGGTTTTTTTTTTTTCGTGTTTCAGCACTGAAATGCAATTAAAAACATGCTAATCAGCGCAATTCCATTTACATTTATATGGAAAATGCGCTGACCAGCGCGAAAAAGTAGCTCATGGAGCATTTTGGGAGACAGGCGGATCGGATCGCGCGGAGCCGCGCAATTGCATGAACGGTCCACAAAGGAATGTATGGAATTGTTCATGTTGGCGGTTCAGCACAGGCAAATCTGCACGACCAAACCGCCCTGGTGTGAACGGGGCCTAAAAGATGCTGATGATGCAACGAACTTGATAAATTCCCTCCCTATACCTAAACTTCTAATCATATCAGGGGTGCAGGTTTCCTATCACCCGATGCCCGGGACATGCAGCTCCGGTGCTGGCAGGTGTTTTTTTTTCTACATTTTAGCTCTGCTTCCAGCAAGCAGGGCTAAATATAGAGCAGGGGAGCTGCCACTCATTTTGTACAAGTGATCTGGGTGACTGTACAGCCACCCAGATCAATTGTAGCAGCTTGCTTATCCGTCCCCTCGCACACCCCGAGAAATGCTGTGTTCTATCTTCTGTATTGGTGGGCAGGCTCCATAAAGAGGACCTGTCCCTCCAAACGCTATCACTTAGAGCAGGGGTAGGCAACCTCGGCTCTCCAACTGTCGTAAACTACAAATCCCATAAGGCATTGCAAGCCACAGGTATGACTCCTAGAGGCAGAAGCATGATGGGATTTGTAGTTTCAGCACAGCTGGAGAGCCAAGGTTGCCTATCCCTGATTTAGGGACTTGTTAGCCCCTGTGTGATAGCAATAAAGTTAAGTGGAAAAAAAAATCATTCAAAAAAAGGTCAAACCAACCTCCCACTCCGGCCATCTGCATGCGAATAAATGCACGCTTAGGGCAGTGTGTGTGTGTACACATACACACGCGCGTGGAGTGCTGCCCCATTCCACTGTGTGCCGTATTATTACGCTCTCTAACACGCACAATGTAATTTGGGAAAATTGAATTACATGCTCAAATATGACCCCCTCTCCCCCGCTATACATGCCTTTCGGCGAACCGTCCTTCCCCTCCACCGATACAGGTGTACTATGTCCCCTATACTGCCGTCCAGCACAGCCCTGTGCTATGAATTTAGAATTTCGCTCGCAAATTGTGAGCACTTATTTGGTCAGCGCTTCTTAGCACGGTTAAATATAGTTTTGGTTACAATTAATTTTTGTATCACAAGTAGATTATCATAAGGGACAAGTATTGGGTTCCAGCTTTAGTCCTTGGACAAGTAGTTTTTTTAAAAGTGTCCATACCCCTGAATATAGTGATTATCTAGCGTTTTGCTTGTATGTCATTCTAGCTTATTTGCCATATACATAAAACTCTAGTTATATAGTGACTATATACAGTTTCCGGAGCTGCCTGTGCATCTGTTTTAGTTTATTTACCTTCTGTATTAACGTCTAATTACAATACAATCTGCTGCATCAGGCAACAAGTAAAATCAATCAATGAGCTGCAAATGCTGTCCAAGAAAACGTCAACTCTATTTAGGTTAACAAGTCCAATCAGTTTACCTTCGTTTTATAAAAAAAAGATATATTGCATTCAGATTCAGTGTGCTTCTCACGGGGTTCTGTGCTGTAAAAATTCGCTTTCATGCTACGGTGTGTTAGGAGATGTGATTGCAGTGAGTTCACTGAGAGAGCCATGCTTGAACCAGGGAATACACTGGCCTGTATTTTTATCAGTTTATACTCCATGTCTCTGAAGATAAGGGTCCCAGAAGCTCTAGAACCAGGCAAAGCAACCACTATAACCCAGGAGAGACCACCAGGTAGCGGCCACCACATTAATCCCACTATTGCCAGGTAATGAGCTCCACAATAGAACCAGGAATTGGGCATTATCAACTCCAGTTTATTTCCTATTATGCCAGTTTGAGGTTATGCCTCTTCTATTTGACTGGCTTCTAACTTTTAAAGCTTTTATTGTTTTGGTCACAACTATGTACCTTCTTGAGAACAAGACTATCCAAATTGTTAGTCTGAAGGACAGGAGCTTGCAGTCACTGGATGGATTCTGACTGATTGGGGATAATTTCAGTTTATTTTGTGTATTCAGTATCTAACCTAGTTCTGTAGTTTAGGCCTTGTTCACACCAAATGCAGAGCAGATCCGGTCAGGTTTCTGCACACGCACGCTAGTCTTTTAGATGCGTTTTTGACGTGTTTCTGATGCGTTTTTGGCTTTAAAAAAACAACGTAAAAAAAAAAAATTAAAATGGGCTTTCAGTGTGTTCCAGGCATTTGCATGCGTTTTTGATGCGTTTGCAGATCCAGAGCAGGTAAAATAGGGCCTGCTGCAGTTTTTTTACCTGCTCTGGAACTGAACGCTGCGATGTGAACTGGAGCTAAAAATACCATTGGAATACATTGGACGCAGTTTTGATCCGGTCTGCAACTGAGCTGCTCTGCACCTGCTCCGCGCTTGGTGTGAACAAGGCCTTAGTGTTTTCAAAGTATATCTAAACCCAAGAAAAAAAACTGTAATATATTTTAGCTTGCCAGTCCATACATGGTTCTGGCCTTACTCCGCTCCATGTCTGGTACTTAGGCACTCTCACCCACTGTAGACCGCCGCTGGCTGTCCATGCTTCTGGGCTGTG